TCAAAACAAATGTGTTTGAAGTCGAATATTGATGAAATGCAAAATTAAGTTTTTCTGCGTACAACAGAAAACCCAAATTAGGTATTCTTTTATCAATATTTGTCTTCAACCACATTTTGGGGGGAAATATTTGCAGAAGTGTGTTTTAAATTACACCCTCTATTTCATTATGATATAATTTAAGTAAAATTTTGCCATCAAAGTTTTGGCGAATTTGGAGCTCCCAAAACTTTAGAGGGGCTTTAAAAGTTCTCCCATCCCCGGGCTCCCATCGCGTTGCTAACAAAGTAATTGGCGTTGTTTTGTTGATTGTTTTCTTGTCTCTGGCTTCCATGCATGTCTTGATTTAAACATCGAAAGTTTTTTGTTGGCATGGAAACCAACAATGCATCCATCCTTTGGCTATCAGACAAGCGAGTGTTTGTATCGATCGGAGTTGCTGTCGTCTTGGTCCTTATATTGATCTTTAAGCTGGGCGGGGAATGCACTACTTCTTTTTTTTCTGCTTGGTAGCTTCTTTTGTTACGTTACGACTCCATCAATTCCTGTTTATTAATTAAACTTTTTCTTGATATGTTTCTCACTTTCTTTATAATTCTCTTTCATATTTTCTTCCTCTTCAATCCCTGATTTTTTAGAAACTTTTAACATGCCCTTTTTTCTTCTATTTCTTCTTTTTTAAATAAAAGAGAAGATCTGATTCACATTCTTATTTTTAAGTAAGGTCTATTATCTAACTATTGCATTATAAAACTGAAATTCGAATAATCTCTCTTTTAATACTTTTGACCCCCTTTTATTAATTACATTTCCTTTGTTAGTTTAAATGAATGATGAACTTAGTATTTCAATCTCACTAGTTTAAGTGCGAATAATTGCAACTATGAACTCAGAGAACTCCGCCATAGAGAAGGCGTCGGAATCGGTGAGACGAGGAGGGGGGGGGGGGGGGGGGGGGGGTAGGTCGGTTTTACTTCTGGGTGAAGTATGAATTAACCAAGATCATTATTAGAAGGAGGCTGTTTGAGAGGGTCTCATCACTTTTCATGTTCATTTTCTCCCTCTTCCTCTTTTCGCATTTCCCCTTTTGGGCTTTTCATTGGAAGCACGTGCCCCCATACTCACAGTAGCCACGCCACTGACATGACTGTATGAACATATAGCACATGTATACACTTTTGTTCAGATTGCATCGAAAAGTGAAAATTAAAAAAAAAAATCATTCTATTACATAATAATATATTTGTACAATTTCCATACCCATTTCATACGTATTCCTCCCTCCTTTTTAAACATACATTTAAGGTTTACAGTTGGCACTTGACTGAAAACCAAAAAGATATCGACTTGAAAAGGAAAACAATACATATATGGCACTCACAAAGTATATTGACGTCAGCAGAGGAAAGATCTGTCCCTCACACTAATGCGTGAATCAAAATATAGTAGGCGTAGGCCTACGGCCGCAATCCCTTGAGAGGGGAGGGCAGGGGCGTACGCAGGATTTTTTCAAGGGGGGGGGGGGGGTTTTGCTCCCGAAAATTTGAAAATCGCGCCGGCCGAAAAGTCGCTCAGTGGGGGGGGGGGGGGGGTAAGCGGACACTTTTTTTTTTTTTTTTGGGAGTCCAAAAAAAATCGCAACGACTCAGCCAGGTCACAAAAAAAACCAAAGGGGGGGGGGGGGGTTTGAACCCCCAAACCCCCCCCCCCCTGCGTACGCCCCTGGGGGAGGGTGAGGGGTGAGGGGGTCACGCCCTTCCCCGGATATTACCTTTCTAGTCTTTAAAGGTACTATGTACCATTTGCAGGCCAACAAATGAAAAAGTTAAATTCCAACTGCATTTGAAAGATAATACTAATTTAGAACTTCCCTAAAAAAGGTGGGGCTTGAAAATGTCTTCAAGTGGGAAAATAACGACTATTAGTTGTCAAATCGACTTTAGGGCTATAGAGCCCAAAAGTAATAGTCTTGATTTTCAGACAATTGTACCGAATGGTCATACGTTTTATGCTGCGCAAAGATTCAATCAGTTTAATCTTGGCCATCACAAGAAGTGGGTTATTGATGTACTGTAGACAAAATGCTCATGTACCCTTTACAACTTTTTCCATGTATGTTATTACCAAAGAAGAAAAAGGCCAGTCAGTGACTCAATAGTGTCAGACAGTGAAGTCTAGCAAGTAAACGGGTTTCCTTGCATAATTTGAATATGAGGACACTGCTAATGTTTAAATTTCACAGATAGGACATACATGACATATTCATAATTCCTGCAAAGTTCTACAGCATTTGAGGTTGGCTGCAAAAGGGACATAGTACCTTTAAAGAGCGAGCGAATCAAAGTTACACAAAATGACAGTGCACCTTCTAAAAATGTAAATTTGATTCTGTTTCTAAGATTAAATAACAATTACAACAACAAAAAATACGAATCTTCCCCTCGCTGTATGTTAGGTACATGGCAGTTGACTGAATACGAGGTGAACATTTTGCCAGAATGAGTATTAGCAATGTGAACCTTCTCGGGCGGGGTGAACTATAAGGTGCCTTGGGAAACACATACTCCCCTAAAATCACAAAATGCCCAACTTTTTGTTGTAAATAGTGAACTTTAGCTGACCTTTAACGTTTCCATGCTGTCGTGCTATATAGCGCAGCGTGTTTCTTTTCTTTTTTGAGTCACGGTACCATTTTAGGAATTGAACAGTTTCGCGTCACCCCAATCTTTAAGTCATGAGAGAAGATTTGTATTGCCATTATACTGTTAGGTGTACGGGCATATTGTCGGGTCGAGGGCGTCGCCTCTTACCCAAAGATTTATTACGAATTAAGATGTATTACGAGTTTCTAAGCGAGCAAAAAAGGCTACTTTTATCAAAGGACAAAGCATCTTAATTAGAACAAAAAATAATATTTTGACACCAGTATGATAAGATATAAAGTTATATATATTCGGACTCTTCGATAACCGAACATGGGAATAGGCCTATTCAGTCATCCCGTTGGCAGCAATCATCCAGGTTTTTAACCGAACGCCTATAAAACATTGATTCATATCATGTTTAATGGTTAATATTAATATTTGATACAGACGAATCTTTCCTGACTTTCAAAGTCTTGTGATAGCCACGTGGGAGGTGTCTAATTCCTGAGTGAAAGTTACTTTGTATTGTATGAATCGATCAATATTCCTGCTCTCAAAGGTTACAGGACGCGGCCCATTTATTGATCTGGAAGCAGTGGAAAGCCACTTCAATAGTCCAAGTGAAGTGCCCGAAAATTCTACTTTGAGATAGGATAGTGTATATTGTAGTAATCAACATTTGGTATAATTTATCCTCCATCCCACCCCATCACATCCAACTTCTGTCGGCCGCCCCAAATCGGGAATGTCGTATTTTCTCGTGTAATATCATTTTAATTAAATTGGTTGCTAAGATTTCGCATGAACTCAAGTTTGATGTCTTTGTATTTTACAACTGGCAGAGCTCAAAGCCCCACTGCACTACTAGTAGCTACTTACCCCTCTATATAGCAAACAATGCCTAAGCGGTACCCGTTGGTCCCCCATGATCCATTTTTTATATATGTTAATTGAGAGGTTATTTGATGAGATAACCACATCTCAGTGACCAAGAAGGGAGGTCTAATCCATCCTGGCCAAATTAGTTCAGATAGGCTTTAAAGCCAATGTTGCCGAGCTTTGTGTATACTGTATATTCGTTGATCATTAGTTATCCGATTGTTACTTTGTATGGTGTAGCAACACACCGTGAATCTGAAATGGTACAGGAAATAATTGTCCTCCTGATAGTGCAGGGGGGGGGGGGGGTGAAGTAAAAAGGTGTCCTGTTATTCAGCTCAACTCCTGGAATTATGAATTATTTTTGTAGTCGTAACAAATATGTTTGCAAATGATTTCAAGTTAAAGTAATAGCTTCACGATTATCTAGGGTCCTGTATGTTTAATAATAGAGACATGAAACACAAACAATCTCTGTCTCCCTTCTCTTTCCATAATATATCCTCAAATCTACAAACCTCCAGAAAACACATAAATGGTCGTTGAAACTCAGCAGGTATGTTGGACAATCAATCTTTAATGGAAAAAAAAATACAAAATTGTAGCTAACTGGTAGAAAAGTTGACTTTCAAAAATCAGAAATAATACCTACATTTAAGTGACATTACACATTATGGTTGTTGGTTATCTCTGACAAATATCACACCATTGATAAGGAATGATTATGAAGCTAAACTGAACTACTTCACATGTGGTATTTAGATGTACATAATGTAAAACCAGTACAAAGGGTTATGAAAAGCAAACAAACATAGGAGTAGAAAAGGTGTGGAATCCCTCATTTGGATATGACATCTATAAATTTTGAGTTATTCATACCATACCCAAATAGGGTCCTTTTATTTATATTCAAAATCATCAAGACTTTTCCCCTTAGTAATCAACAATCCCCTACGATTGTTTATTGTTATATATCAAAACAAGTTAATTAATAATTCAACTACTTAAGCAAAGATATTAAGATGGTAAAAAGCATCTTGAAGATAACCTAGCAAGAAATCTTACGAGTGATACCAAAATCCATTTTGTATTTCACCCTGTAGCAGGTATAACACCCACACTAGTACATATCAGACTAGGTGATTTTATGTTTTCTTTAGGCTGCTTGTGAGATCTGTATATACATAGTCGGGTTAACTGGACAATGTCATGAACGTTAAGAAATTTACATTTCAGATAACTTTTATAATCTATAACAAATGTATTGTATATAACATAGCTGAAGTTTCTCTACACTTGATATGGCTTCTTTCATATATTTTATAACATCAAAATAGAATTCCTATATATTATTATTACATAAAAATATTGACCTACCTTTTGAATGTCCTTACATAAGTACTTACACACATAGTAATATGTGACGGACCGGTCATCTTTAAGATGACTAAAAATGGCATGAACATCTACTGGTACTTTGTAAAAATTGGGGGGGGGGGGGGGCATGGAGCGCAATGAAGTGAAAGTGTCATGAACAGCAAGAACCCAGAATGTTTTTACAGATTGTATTAACAAATTACCCCCTAAATGACTTTTGTGGACAATTATTCAATTTTGTCTTTCCATGTTGCAAAAGTTTCATAGAAAGACATTTTCTTTCTTTTAAAACACTAAATAGTTAGATTTTGGTTGAAACTTTGAACCTTAACATCTAAAACATTATCAAATACTATTAAATTGCCTTTTGTTTTCCACCAGTAAAGTTTGAATAGTAAATGATCATGTCAATTGGCCTAGTTTGCATAATATCTGGTCAGGGCTCAACATTACTAGGGGTTCTATACTCACACACACACAAACACACACACACCCTTCCTTGACCCCTAAACTCTTAACTTCTTACAGATAACAAGGAATTAATGCACCCCATTACTTTGTTCGACACCAAATGGTTAAAAGCCCGTAAGAAGTAAAGATTTAGGACGACTCAGAGAGACAGAAGTCAGATTACATGCTACTCATATTAAGTATTCATAATCAATAGAATTCATTGTCTCTATGATTAGTCATATTGACTGTCCCCCAAATGGCCCACTTCTACCCTTCTATATTCCAACATGATTACTGTTTACACAATTTAACATACATATTACAGATACACTCAAATACATGGAAAAAGAAAGCTATCTAGCTATCTGCAAGAAGATGTGTTGTACAATGTTTGAGATGAGAATAAACCAACAAAATACAATGGGTCTAATTCATCAAACTATCACTAATTTATTAACCATCATGACATATACCACCTTTGGAAATGTGCTAACATTACAATGACATATTACATGATCAGATCTAGATGTTTGTAATCGATACAATATGCTAGAAAACAATTTGTTGCAATTACTTGATAGGAATTGCTAGGCTGTTGCTACATGCAGTTTGTTAATACAGCCCAATAAAATAAAGTTTTAGTTATGAATGTGCATAGTGTGAGCTCACACACCTATCTCACTAAGAGTAAAATGCATAGTGATCTGAAATCATTTAAATGATCTTGTCTTGAATTTGTATAGGAATGATGTACATGCTGGTCATTATTCATGATTTCCAGACGAGAGAACACATTCAGCCATTCTTTATATTAAATTTTCATGATTTGAGATTTAATGGAAATAAGAGTTTCTTATTATTGCTATGTGTGCCTGATACAGGCTAACACATTTAATCATTCAAACTCTTAGCCCAACAGAACCATTTACATGTACTGTGATCAGTATGGTACCCTGTTTTCAACAAAAATTAACTCTTAACAATCAACCTTTTATCTCATCACCTAAAGCTTAACATACAAAGTTTTAAACTTCAGTTATAAAATATCTATTGCATCAACATAATCATTTAAAGTAAACTTTTAAACTGATTGAGAGTACACATGCTATCCTAACACAAGACAACTACACATGAAAGACTACACAGCACAGATAAATGTTTAGTCCTAGAAATATAACAACAAACAAGGCATACAAGTAAATGTATTTATAAGGCAGCTTTAAGCCCACCACACACTACACTATTGTGCTGCAATCTAATTTACAAAGAAATGGCAATTGCATCAGATAGGAAATCAGAAACAAGCATCATTTTCTGATTTAGCATCTAAACAATGATAAGAATACTAACACATTACTGTGCATTGAACTCTCCTAGTCAGAATAAAAGCTGCATCGGCTTCAAATCATAGACAATCACACTACTGGCCTGAACTAAGCACTGGGATTCTGAACCGATTAAGCCTTTCCTATTCAGATCCTTTGTCACGCAGATCCTTTATAATGCAGTTGACCTAAAAACTGATAAGATTATCATCTTTAAGCTTCCTGGTTTCTAGTGATAAATCATTTGGCAATGCTTATCATTTTTAATGAATGTCTACTTTACAAAATTCAGCTTGCATTCTATTAACATTCTGATAACTTTCAATATTTTTCTTTGGGCTAGCTTGGAGAGATTATTAAAAGTACGAAAAAGATCAAGGCATAGTTTGATTTGATACCACTATCATCTCAAAACAGTAAACACAAATTAGCCTCTTTTATATAGTTATAACTGAAAGGTGCAATCATACTGACACAAGTTTAAAGGATCCCATTTTACAACATTGTAATACTCTGCTATGGCACATGAATGACGGTCAGAAGTTACGCTATAATTTGCACTTGCTCATTTCATCATAATTATTTCTTCTGGTACATAGATTAAGGATGAAAGACTTGTTTTTGTTAATGATCCCTGAAAGTTCATTTATCAATTCTGTCCTGAGCACATAGAAACAAGAGCTTCATTTTTGTTACAGCTTCATGTATAACAGACGAATGGGAATCTTTTCCACCTAGCCTTAAAAAACAAAGAGGCATATATCACTACATCATATGTAGTAAACTGATACACCAAAACTACATGAACAATGAATGTGGTCTTTATATAGAAAAAGAAGCATAAAAATAGAATCATTTTTCAACGCAGGGTCCACATAAAAAGTGATTAGTACTACTACTTCCCAAACCAAAAAGGAGATTTTTAAATCATGTTAATCTGTTGAAAGATAACTTGAATGGTATTTTCACTGACATGCCAGTGTACCATTCTTCTATACCACACACACTGTCTTAGTACTATAATAAGCTCCAACAAAGTAAACTGAGATGAATGAAATACAACAAACATGGAAGTTTATCTTCAATGTAGTTGATATAATTTGAGAAACTGTGTAAGCAGATGGAGGTGTGGGAGGGGGTGGACCACCCTTCTTTCAATAAAAAACTATACATTTTTATACTAAATGCACTCACTTTAATTTACCCTGTACTAATAACTAAGAATCACAGTAAATATCCGTCCTCTTAACAGAGTTTATATCCTCTAGAGCTTTCCATACATCTATTTTCAAAACCCAGACAATGCCTTTCGATACTGCCTCAGACCAAATCCTTCTATGAAGGTCATTCTATGAAGGTCACAAATCAAACAAGAGACGTCCAGGTGAAAAAGCTAATAACATATAATAAGTTTTTGAAGATTAAATCAAGTGAAATAACCTCTATAATTTGAAAAAATTCTCATAATTGCAATCTAAAAAAAAAATATATAGTTTCTATAATCACACAATAGACACTACAGTACCAATCACTTTCTCAGGGTCTAATTATTCATGCAGTGATTTGAAGCAGTAGCTGTTCATATACATAAAACATGATCTTTTTTAACACTTGAATGTTTTCTTTTCTGTACACTCTACAGGATTCAAGAGGCTATTCTCACTAATTATTTATATTATCTTAACATGATTTTCTGATCGAGATACAAGATGAAACACTCCATAACTTGATACAAGTTAACATGTCTAATCAGAGGAGAAAATGAGCATGCCAGGGGCATTACCTAAAGAAAAACATACCATACCCTAAACATAGTTTTCAGAATACCATCCCAAATAATTTTCTTGTAACACAGTGATTATTCCAGAGCCTTTACAATGAAGATCATACAAACATAGTATGCATAGTATCTACACCCAATCAGATGGATTAATCAAAATGTATTCTTGCATTATACCATCAACAAAGTCATTTTTATCTACAGATTTATAAACATATACATGTACTTTCACATTTTAAGCAATACAATTGAATTCAGAGGTAATTACGTATCACTACTTCCTGAGAATCCTGACCTATCACCATGGAGATCTAACAACACTCTGGTGACATTGCTCCAGGCTTTAGTCCCTCTAATAGAGAAGGTTACATGTATAACATGGGTTGTGATTAGCTGTAAGGTAGAGTTTAGGGTTAGGGTTAGGGTTAGGTGCCTGCGTTGAAGTCATGAGAGGAGTTTGCAGCAATTATCATCAAAACATATGTCACCAAATTGTATTCACATCCGATTCAAGTGATATCACTATACAAACCCAATCAGTTCATCTACAGATATATATACATATACTCTCACAGCTCAGAATGATAACCTGATCATGAGAAAGTAATACACCACATTCCAGGTATCTAGGCAACATTACCAACGACCATGTCATAGGATGGAGGCTTGCTAGTCATCTCAAGGTCAAGGTCAAGGTCATGATCAAGGTCATAGTGTCCTTCACATTGCTTGATGTGAGTTTCATCATCAAACTGAGCCTTCAGACCATCCAACAGACGCTGGCAAAGAGAAAAGGAGAAAAAGAGTAAAGTGTGAAAATTGTATTTAAATTTCATTTTTGACCAATAAATCTACTGAAGAAACACGACAAGTATCAACATTTATTTGTTATTTTTGAAGGTACAGAGCAAAAGGACATGTCGAGATATTAGGAAAGACTAGATATATTGCCTTCTGCCAAGTCATTTATATGTGGAAAATCAGGGGGAAATGTGTTGAATAAAAGTGATATCACGTTCATTTGGCTAATCAAACTTTCTGGTGTGATTGATTGATTTCATATAAGGCTGTACCATCACATCTTTTCATTCATTTATGGTAGAAATGGAATTTCATTAAAATGGTAATGTTGTGAAAGAAATACAACAGTAGGTTTTTCTCTTTAATACTAGCCTCTTATATCAGATCTCTCACTACCCATTCAGGGTTAAGCCCTACAAAAATGATTTCAGACAAATGGGCCTGTACGTGAAATCATTTGCTCCAAAGCCATCATCTTCCTGATTAAAGATTACATGTACTTTTCTAACTTCTAGATAAGAACAAAGTGTTTACAAGACCATGAGCGTGTATGGTCATACCACAATGAAACTATCAAGGCACTCATTCTCATTCTCCTATTTGGATGCTAAGAACATTCAAGAAATGCTTTCTGCACAAGACTGGTGAACGTCAAATGGACATTTTAAGAAGGTGCCATTCAAATTCAAATTTGCAAAATCTCATTTACACAAGTACTACTTGAAGTTGATATTTTGAATCTAGAATGCCAGATCCCTTAATTTTGGTGATACATTCAGGTTAAATATATCAACAGACCTGCCAACCTCTGGAGTTCAAAAACTGTTTTCTTTAATCCCAAAAGTTGTATTCTTAAAAATAAACACAGACTGTTACGCGGATCAATATGCCTCTTACAGTTCCTACATACAGGAAGAATTTTTTTTATGGATCATTAGTTGAATATGCATGCATCAAGTCATTGATTTCTGAATCCTCTCAATCTGGAATGAACTGAATATCCGGGCTAGTACTACGTTGTCAAGGTTTAGAACGCTTTGTCGTAAATCTCTTGTTGACAAGATTTTAGTACATACTGGCTGAGTAACCTTTGTTTAGATTTGTTTACATGGCTGATAGATTCTTACTTTCAGCACTCCTTGGTCATGGTCATGTCTTGACAAAGGAGTGTTGAATCATATGGCGTCATCAGCATTGTCTTTCTTTGCTTCTTCTTCGTTTTCTACTAACTTCTTTTTTCTTCTTCTTCTTTCCTTCTAGCTGTGTTTGTGTGGATGTATATATGTGTATGTCATGTGTGTTGATGACTGAATATTTGTATTACATGACTTATTTTATGTATGTATAATTTGCTAAAGGGGCCCTGTTTACAAGCTTTTGCTTCTTTAAGGATCCTTAACCTATATTACCTTGTATATGATTACATTTTATGTACGATTTTTAAATGGATGAATAATAGAAATGAAATATAAATAATATAAATGAAATGAAGAATAAAAGGACCAAGTGAATGGCTTTGCTTACATCTTTCATGGAACCCTTAGACGTAGCCAATGTATGGATGGCACCGATAGGCATACACAGGATAGATAGAAGGGCCACACACCAACCAAGGCCTTGGCACCAAGCAGGGTACACGTAATCACCATACGTCACTGGTTTATAGTCCACAATCGTGAAGATTAGGATGGCCTGACAACAAAATATATAAAGAAGACAATTAAACCTTATGGTGCAATTGAACCGACTACCGGTACATGGTTCTCTTCACCATCTTCCATCACCAGTACCAAGAACATAGAACACCATCATCATTATGATCGCAACCACCACCACCACCATTATTTTTTATCATCATCCTCACCACCATCATCATTATCGTCACCATCAGCATCATCATCTAGAACTATGACCTACCAGAATGAGGAGGGGTGAGATGATCAACCAGCAGGCTCTGAAGTAGATGTTAGGATAAGATCCTGTCATAGCCTGCCAGTATCATCATCATCTAGAACTATGACTTACCAGAATGAGGAGGGGTGAGATGATCAACCAGCAGGCTCTGAAGTAGATATTAGGATAAGATCCTGTCATAGCCTGCCAGTATCATCATCATCATCTAGAACTATGACTTACCAGAATGAGGAGGGGTGAGATGATCAACCAGCAGGCTCTGAAGTAGACGTTAGGATAAGATCCTGTCATAGCCTCGATGTTCTTAGCAAGACGATTACCACCTACAAAGGAGATATAATCAAGAACTCATTTTGAGACTCTCCAATCTGTGCTTGAATGAAACAATGATTTACTCTGAATATTTCATTCCTTTTAATTGTTTTTATTTCAAAGTACTAGGATTCTTACAAACATTTCACTCTATATCTGAAATGACTTTACTTATTTTCCTTCTAATCGTCCTCTTTGTGTGTAAACATATCTAACTGAGCTGATGAACATTGCCAAGTATTTCATGACATCTTGATTTTGTAGAATTTTTGTAGAATTTTATTGACTCTTTGACCCCCTCTCGGGGTATGAGAGTACAAACAAACATAAAAGTATAAATAACAATGCATGACTTATCAATACAATTCACATACATTATACATAGATAATGACACAAAGATAAAAACGATATTGATACACTACATAATATCAAAACATGATTTAAACAATTGAGTGACAAAAATGTTATTTACATTTACAAAGATGCACAAATAATATCACCTTGGTGATGTAATCCTCTTACATTCACCATCATTTTTATGAGCTTAAACTGGAATAGTCATTTCAGATTGAATTTTGATAGTGCCCATATTGTCTAAATCATTTAGGTTCTGTTTCATACATGCAGTCATGTATTATTCCCTACACAAACTTACAGTGGTTCTAGTTCCAATCGGATTGTTTCTTAATTCCTTATCAATTACTTTTGAGTATTCAATACTGCAGTTAAATTCTATAAACGAAAATTCAAACTGAAAAATGGAAACTATTCCAACTTCATGCTTGTATTCTAGGAATCTCAAAAAAAATGTATATTATGGAATCAAATTATACGTAAATTGATCAGGCATCCATTGAGCATAATTCTGTAAGTTTTATTTCCATAGCTATTTATCAAAACACATGTAGGGCAGCTTCAAGACCGAAGAAGTCTGACTGTGTCACTTTTTGAGGATAGTGATAAACTTACCATACACCCAGCATACAGCTACAGCCTCGCCCATAGCTACAAAGAAAAGAGAGATGACTGCTGTATACCAATCCATGATCTGGAAGAAGTACATCCCTCCCTGCAAAAATAAACATGACAGAACAAATGAGATTAAGACCATGTCATGATGATAATTATGATGACAACGATAATGATGAAAATGGCGAAGATGATGATGATGATGATGATGATGATGATGATGAGATGATGATGATGATGATGATGATGATGGTGGTGGTGGTGATGATGATAATGATGATGATGATGATAATGATGATGATGATGATAATGATTGTGACGTTGATGATGATGATGATGATGATGATGATGGTGGTGGTGATGATGATAATGATGATGATGATTATGATGATGATGATGATGATGATAATGATTGTGACGTTGATGATGATGATGATGATGATGATGGTGATGGTGATGATGATAATGATAATGATGATGAAAATGGTGCTGCTGATTGTGATGATACTATGACTTTCTGATTTATAACATTCATAATAATTACTAAAACTATTTTTCAAAACAATGAGCATGTCTGTAAGAGGTTCCCTTCATTCAGTGTAGAGAAATACATGATGAAAAATCAGTCCAAAATCTAATGGGAAGCAAAATCAGAAAGATGGTGACAATTTAAAGTGATCTGTTACAAATATCTTTCTTGTTGTGGAGATACATTTACAATGTATCTACAAAATGAAAGCTTAACCCTATTTAGCCCGGGGGGGGGGGGGGGGGGGGGGGGATTTAGAAGCCCCCCCCCCTCGACATTTTTCGCGTTAATTTTTTAACGCGAGAAAATCTTGGACTGAAATATTGTGACTTTTTTCTTTCAAGTCTTGCGCATCTTTTGAAAGAAATTTTTCGAAAATCAGACCTACCATTACAAAGCCACGTGTCCTTTTGTCTTTGCATGTCAGCCCGAAAATCGCTCATTTTTGTGATTTGTGTACAAAACATATGGAAATCACATTTTTTTTTAATAAAGAGATAAAACATTGGTTATTTGGTCTTGTTTATAGTTTAGGTGTTTATTTTGGGGTCAAAATAGTTGAATTATAGTTGGAAATGAAATAAAACAACAAAAACAATAAAATACATAAGTTAAAAAAACAAAGAAATACATAATAAATTATCAAAACAATAGATAACATAAGGAATAACCCTGGTTGTTCAATTTTTTATGTTGTATTATTATTTCAAATGGTCTAATAAATATATGTAGTGAAAAAGAATGCTTAAATATGAATAATGTCTGATTTATGGGCAAAAATGTGAATTGTATGACCTTATTTGCATAAATTACCATAAATATGCAAATGAGTGAATTTTTCAAAAAATTGAAATTACCATAGTATTCTATACACTTCACTTGACATGTATGCAAATTTTCGCGGGGGCTTTAGAAGCCCCCCCCCCCCCCCCCCCCCCCGGGCTATGCAGTTTCAAAATAGCCCGGGCTAAATAGGGTTGCATACAAAGACTTATCTTGTTTATGTTTGGTAGACCAAGGATTAGACAGGTATGAAACTTAGAGCTACCAAGATTGATCAAACCTACACTTATCTTGGTGCTATCAGGTTTCAAGTAGACTGAGAAACTTGAATTTCCTAGAAAGACCACAACAGCACTTATCTTGAAGATGTTGGGTAGCCCAAAGTTTAGACTGTAACAAAGAGCTTCCTAGATGGACCAAACCTAGACTTTGTTCTGTAATGTTGGGCAGCCTTTAGGACTAAGATTAGTAACCTAGAACTGTGTAAGGACCAAACCTAGACTTTGTTCGGCAATGTTGGGTAGCCTTTAGGACTAAGACTGGTAACCTAGACTTACCCTAGTGATGTTAGGTAGACCAAGGAGAAAGGAGATGATGCATATATAGAGGACCAGGATCTCTTTCCGGTTGAAATAGAATTGACGAAGCTTGGGAAAACCTTCATTGAAGGTCGCTACCACCACCTCAACCATAGCAAACTGAGTATAATAACAGAGAACATGTGACATATTATAACAAAGTTGTCAATTTGTTACAGGGTTCCAATCACCATCAATATTTTTCCCTGGATGTGCATGGATCCATGTTTGTTAATTGTCACTATGAAAATACACACAAGTATTTATTTCATTTTGTGTATGTCTTTTGTATCTCAATTGAGATTGAGTTATGTTTATGTTTGAACACAGAATGTTTGTTTGTAATAATAATAATAATAACAATAATATGTCTTGTTATCCCATGGTAGCCTCATCAGTATTCATACTGTTCTCCCTGAAGGCCCTGCAATCATATTATTATGTTTGCAAACAGATACCTAAATGCATATATCATACTGTACTATCTGAACATGTAGGTGCAGCTTATAGACATCCCATTGTGTCATTCTAATTAAAGCTTCACTGCAAAGCAATATTCTATTTTGGTTCACTTTTAGGGCTATATTAAACATGGTCTCAAATGTGGTGCCATTCATGCGGTAATTGAAGAACTTTCTCAAGATCTATTTCATTGATGAATTTACACAATGCTTCTTCAGTCTCTTTAGCGGAAATGGATTGTAATCATCATTACTTTATCTATCACATCATTATATCTCAATGACTCGAAGCACTTCAAATCTTATGGCTGAATAAATGTAATTGTGTCATCTTTCAGTGTCTGTTACATGAAATATATAAGCAACTGATAGCATACAATTTTTAAATCCCCCAATACTCTTGACATTAACACCAACAAAAGATGATGGTGATGCAAACAATAATACCACAGAGGATAATGATTATAGGATATCAGGGAAGGGGGTGTGGGGCATGACCCTGATCCCCCTCCCTGGATCCGCCACTGACAACAATGTAATTCTGTTCTTTCCCTTGAAACTCCACTAACCTGACTATCTATTCCCAGACAGACCAGCATGAGGAAGAAGAGTACAGACCATAACTGAGGAACAGGCATGGTGTTAAATACAACCGGGTACACCACAAACACCAGACCAGGACCTGCACAGTGAAAGAAAAACAATCAGTGATTAGCTTAGTTTTTGTTGTTGTGTAGACCAGATAGGGCACTGTTTTATAAAGCTTGATATCACAAGCAGTAACAATAACAGTTACTAGCTCCTGAAAATAACGCATTTGAAATGGCTTTGTGAGCACATTCGTTACAGAAATGTGACACTTGTAACTGATAGAGAGTTTTGATAAAACAGCTAGGGACTGGACCTGTGCATTGATGATTAGCTTCAAATGAAACCAGATAATGTTAAGAGAGATCAAAATCTTAGATACCCTCACAGAGTCAAACTTAAAGTTGAACTTGCATGTAGTTTGCTGATTATGGAGCACCAAGTGTCAACTCTTTTTAATACTCTGTACACCTTATTGTCATATAGATGATAATAATGAGTTCAGTCATGAAGGATTTATGTCATAGGGACACAGTTTTAGTTTGGTCACTTATAGAATTATGGTCATATTGTTACCAGATGAAGAGGTCTCTGTACATGAGTAAACTAACTCTACCCACTTTAGCCAGAGTTCACAAAGTTAATTTATGAATACTCGTCAATATCTTGCCTAGAATGTATCTCACCTTGTACAACTACATCCTCAATGTCAGCTCCTTGGACCTTAGCTATGTAACCCAGTGCAGAGAAGATCACACACGAAGCAAAGATACTCGTAAAACAATTGATCCCACAGATGGTCAGAGTATCTCTGCAAAAAAAAGGAGCAACAAAGAAAACACACTGAAAACATGACAAATCTCCACAATATTAATTCTAGGGAATAATTTTGGTGTGCAATATACTTTTTGGGAAGGTACATGTTTTATTCACAAGTTTTCTCATCATATTGTTTGCATCTATTCCATTCAATGGCTAATTTCTCAAATCCGAATAATAAATAACGAGATTACATGTTTGTACACGTTACAACAATAATAACAATATACAAATAAGAAACTACACATTATAGATACACACACACAAACACGTATTCTCACATCAGGGCCTTTGTGGGGCACCTGATTGTGGGGTATTTCTGTGCGTTCCAGATATACATGTACCTTGTGGTCCCCTACTAGTGGGGTATGTACAACCTGGCGATAACAACCCGGCGGTGTGCTTACGATGTTACCATAAAAAAGTGTGCAAGTTTTAGCACACGCTCACAAAAAGTCATTTATGGGGTACCACTTCTAATGCCCCGCAGGGCATAGGACACCGAATATACAGTCATTTGAAAGACTTTACTCTGTGGGGTCCTGAAAAAATACCCCACAAAGTAAAAATGCCTCACAAGGGGTATGTGAAGCGCACATAAAACCCCACAAAAATGCTGAGGTGAGAGCACTATTCACACATACACACACACACACACACACACACGCATTCTCACATCAGGGCCTTTGTGGGGCACCTGATTGTGGGGTATTTCTGTGCGTTCCAGATATACCTTGTGGTCCCCTACTAGTGGGGTATGTACAACCTGGCGATAACAACCCGGCGGTGTGCTTACGATGTTACCATAAAAAAGTGTGCAAGTTTTAGCACACGCTCACAAAATGTCATTTATGGGGTACCACTTCTAATGCCCCGCAGGGCATAGGACACCGAATATACAGTCATTTGAAAGACTTTACTCTGTGGGGTCCTGAAAAAATACCCCACAAAGTAAAAATGCCTCACAAGGGGTATGTGAAGCGCACATAAAACCCCACAAGAATGCTGAGGTGAGAGCACGCACACACACACACACGCACACACTTGCATGGAACATTGCAAGTTAGAACAACTAAAAAGAAAGAGTTAAGGGAAATAAGAAGAGACCAACCGTCTTTTCAATAGAACTTTAAAGGATGATATAGTTGTGCATAATGTTAGCTTATCAGTTAAATCATTCCAAATACGGGGACCATTATGTCTAAAAGAGTAAAGCATTAACTGGGTAGAGACCTTTCGATAATGATATTTGATACAGGAACGAGTATTATATGAATGAACAGATTTATTAAGGATAAACATTTGACAAACTCTTTTGGGTACATAATTATTATAAACATTATACATCATAATAGCACTTTGAATTTTATGTATATCATAAATATTGAGTGTTCTTAGGCGAAAAAACAGGGGGCGTGAATGAGCTTGATAATGGGAGTTTGTACATATTCTTAAAGCTTTCTTTTGAAGTTTAAGGAGAGGTTCTAGTTTAGTTGTTCCCACACCGGCCCAGGTGATATTACAGTAATGTAAGTAAGGCAAAATTAAACAATTATACAACATAAACAATACTTTTTCAGGCAGAAATACACGTAATTTACAAAGAACACCAATGTTTTTAGATATTTTGTTAGTTATATACAATCGACGATCCTGAAAAGATAAAGTATCATCCAAAAGGATACCAAGAAATTTAACAGAAGAGCACACATTCAAATTTATATTGTTTATAAATATTTGTACATCATTAATATTGCAAGGATTAGTTTTATTATGAAAATAAAGTACACTTGGTTTGTCATAATTTATAATCAATTCATTAGCATTAAACCATTCAACAACCTTTTCTTATTCTTTATATACTTCCGACATTAATTTACCAAAATTTTTATGAGACGCAATCAGGTTTGTGTCGTCAACAAATAAGACAAAATGAAAAAAAGATGAAGCAGAACTAAGGTCATTTATGTAAATTAAAAATAGGAGAGGACCCAGCATGGAGCCCTGTGGGACTCCATACTGGATCCTCTCTCTGTCAGAAATAAAGCTGTTGTATGATGTGAATTGAATACGATCACTTAAATAGTCCCTGAACCATTCCCAAGCAATACCGCGTATACCAAAATGTTTTAATTTAGTGAGGAGAATATCGTGGTTAATGACATCGAAAGCTTTCGACAAATCAAGAAACAAGCCTAATGTATGCAATTTATTATCTAATTTATTGAGTATGTAATCATGAAGGTCCATTAGAGCATGTCCATATGATGAGTTTTTTCTAAAACCATATTGAGAAACAGTCAGAAGATTATTCTTATTAATATGATTAAAGAGCCTATTATAAATTCATTTCTCCAGTTTGTTAGAAAAACAAGGGAGTAATATTATTGGTCGATAATTAGAGAATATGTGGGGATCACCTTTTTTAAATATGGGTATGATTTTTCCTACTATAAAATTCTTGGAGACTCTTCCTGACAAGAAGAAAGGATTACATATAAAAAAATTGGTATGACAATGAAATGTATAACATGTTTCATAATGAACTGACTTATTCCTTCAAAATCTGTGCTCTTGGTTGAATTGAGCAATTTGACAATATTCAAAACTTCTGTTACATTGGTAGGATGAAAAAATATTGATTTGCTACAAGGATCTCGTAAAAATGAACTAAAATTGCATTTCGGTTTCTGAATATGTTCAGATTTTAGTTTTGTAGGAATACTAGAAAAATAAGAATTAAATTCATTTACAATCAATTGACGATCAGTTAACTTGTCCTTATCTTTAAGAAAATAATTAGGATATTGGCATTTTCTTCGCTTTCCTAATAAATCATTAATAACTTCCCAAGTTTTATACATATTATTCCTATTCTTCTGTAATAAATCACAAAAATATTTTTTCTTACAGACTGTAGGATTGACTTTAATTTATTTCTAAATTTTTTATATTTACATTCATTGCTGTCGTTTCTTTTCTTACAAAATGTTTTATATAATCTATACTTTTTATTAATCTTTTTTAACAGTGAAGGGATTATCCAAGGTTTTCGTGGCAGTTTTCTTTTCTTCACTTTACGAACAACAAAGTTATGATCATATACAGTTTTAAATATGTTTAAAAATGAATTATAGGCCTCATCTACATCACATTTAATCTACATTAAATGCAATTCCTGTTTAAAAAAACCCATTTCTATGCATTTCTAAAAGACTTTATTACCCCAGTTTTAGGCCTGGCAAACCAGACAAGTGCTCAGAGCAGGAGCATATTCAAGAAACAAATCTTACCCATTTACTTCAGCAAGGTAGTAAGTGGCATATGTATATATATATATATATATATTCAGGCGTGAAGAAAATGGTCTAGGAACGTGAGACGTAGCTGTACTTTTATATATATATATATATATAACCCTACATGGTACATTAAGCGGACATAATAAACATCCTAACCCTAACCCTAACCCTAACTCTAAACCTAACCCTAACCCTAATCCTTACACTAACCCTAACCCTAATGTCTACTTAATGACTCATTTTTCACTCAAAATGTCACTCCAATGACACCTTTAGTGGAATTACATATTTATAGAGAGATATATAAACAAATTGGGCCTTCCACAACAAATAAAACGTAAAAAACGTTAAGAGGACACCAAATTGTCCTCCTAATCACAATGTCTACTTAATGACTCATTTTTTCACTCCAAATGTCCCTCTAATGACGCCTTTAGTAATATATATATATATATATATAAAACCACTAAAATAGAACAGCTTTATATTGTAATTCTCAGGAGAGTTGTACTAGAAGATGACTTACCTAACTATAGACCTATTCTTGAACTCATTGTAGCTAGAAAGTGCTATCATAGATCCAAAGGCGATCCCAATCGAGTTGAAATTCTGAGCGGCTGCAGCTTCCCAAACCTACAGTTCATACAAAAAGTTATTAAAAACTATCAGTTATATATATTCCTTGTCCTTTGTTAGGGAAGGCAACTTTATTATCACTCGCGTTCGTCCGGGTTCGGGACGCCTACTTATCTCTTAATCCCCCGTTCCCGGACGCGTATTGTACGCTGGCGGTCCCTTGGCGTCCCTTGCTCGCGTCTATTGTTGTCTGTTGGACAATAGAGCAGGCAGCCAGAAAAGAAGCCATCCCGTCCGCTAGGACCGCTGTCAATCAACCTCACCGCTATCCAGCCCCTCTCTAATCCTTTCTAATCTGGCGTCCCCTGACAATAGCTGACCCGTCTAGAACGCGTTAATCTGGCGTTCCCTGACAATAGTAGCACCCGTCTAGCTCGCGTTTAGAATACGATAGTAGATTTTCATAGATGAATTTTCAGTCTTGAAAGCAGACCTAGAGCTGCAATCCCCCGGGTTGATTGATAATAATTTGTCCCAAAAATGTGTCGCGCGCTGAAATAATAAACCTAACCAGCAACGCCTCAAGTCTTTCTACATACAGCTGCATATGAGTAAAAGCTTCTGCGACACTGCAAATATATAAATCATATTTAGTAGTGTCTGTATTCCCCAACCTATTAATCAGTACTGCATTGCGTGGATTAGCAATTCGCGCAAATCACAACATGTGGATAGCCCCCTAAAATGCGGTCACGTGATCTGAGCCCGACAGCGCTGGTAAAGACGCAGCACACTCGAAGGCCCTCGAAGGGCGCTTGCGATAAGCCAAAAAAATCGTTACAAAATCTCTGATTTCTTGATTTTAAGCGCTTTTTTTGGCGAAGCCGTTTTTAAAATTTGGCTAAGCCACCGCATGCTTTGGAAATATGGCTCCGATTCCGCACTTTTGACAGCAAAATTTGGCTTTTGGGGTGGATTTTTGGAAGTGACATCGGGATTTCCTTGTACTAGTGAGTGACGCTGTGTGTAGTGCAGTGCACTGATATGTAATTTGCGTGTGTTGTGGATGCTGGTTTGATATCACGATCGGATGCATGTATGTGTGTATGCATAGCCTGGGGTAATGCGCACGTCTTTGAGTGGTGTACATCCCCTGTGTTGTGTGTAATGTGCATGCGTGCGCGCCACAGGAATTGCCAACACGAAACATTGGCACAACTATGCATACGCTCGTTCTCACAGCCAACCTGTAGCCACGTTCGCACAGCCAAACTTAAAAAACCCGTATAAATACGTTAAAAACGTTCTGCTTGGCAGCTCTGTGAAGTCTGAGTTTTATGTAAAATCACAGCAGAAAATTCAGTGTTTTTACAAAATAAATATAGAAATCAAAATTAGGATTTACATTGCATGTACTACCTACAAGTGAAGATGTAGATGTAACTTTGCCTCCCTGTTGTTTTACTTTTCCCTTTTGTTGATTTTTTTTATTCTATGCATAATCAGGCCTCTCGCCAAGAAATTAAAAAGGCGTGGCGCGACACTAGGGAAAATTTGACCCCGCCCCCCTAAAAAAAAAAAAAAAAAAAAAACGTTTACAAGTATTAAGAGTAATTTGATTAATTGTTATCCCTTTATTATGTTCCGGGTCATTGTCATATTTACCCTTGCACTAAATAATCTCAATTATCAATATTTATAGTATGTTGGAATTTGTGAACTTTGTTATCCAATGTTACGAAGAAAAAAAAATGAATATGATCATAGTTGTTTGATTTTTATCGAGCTAGACCAAGTCATGTATTTAAAGCTGTAATTATTTTCCTTATATTAAAAACAATATTGCATTTTCTTATTTTCACAAAATTGCGGTACTCAAATTCTCTGCCTCAAAATGACATATACACCCGTCGACTCCGAGACACCAAAAATAAGAAGAGCTGTCGACGTGTTTGTACGCCCGCGTCATTAACATGGCCAGTTCATATTTTTAATTTGCTGGAAATTGTTCTTTAAAAATGAGAAATTCACGAGTTTGAGTAGGATCTCACTATATGATTGTTAAATATCAAAATTTTGAGCTTTTTTTTATTGCCCGATATAAAAACATGCAGCCACAAATGAATTTGAACATTTTGATTGACTGCATAGTTGCTTAGTAACCAGACATAGTCAGTTCATTCATGACTTATGAAGCCGCCTCTGAGCTAATGTAAACAAAAACAAAGCCATTTATGGGCCGAGTGAATGAACTCAAGTGAATGTGACAGAGAAGAGAGCGTGAGAGAGGTTTTCCCATGCTCATCTTTTCAGGGGAAAGGGGGGGGGGGGGGGGGGGAGGAGGAGATAACTTCACGAAAGAGACAGCGCAAGAGAGAGATAGAGAAAGAGAGGGAAATGTACGATGGAGAGCGCGCAAACATGAAAGGGCTAGGCCGCATGCGTTATTTTTTTATGCGGCACAGATTGGGGCTTTTTTTAAAAAGGGGTCTTGATTTACAGACTAATACTGGTCTTGTGCGTACTTAGTAGAGGTCTGTTTTTAATAGTGTTACATGTAACTACCGCATGGAAAATCATTACATCAACAATTGAAATCGAATTGGAAATCTGAAGAGGAGGCAGCACGTCAATAAGGAGAACATCACAATAATTAGTCAATAAAACTTAACTAATTACTTAAACGAAGAGGAATGTTATCTAAACACATAGTTCGCGATGGATATACAAACTTCTTCGCAGCGCTAATGCGCTAGCGAACATGACTAGTCTCACGTTCGTGCAGACACTATTCAGAAGGGAAAGAACGTACTTCCCATAGGTTTAACACGCGCCATGCCCCAATCTGTGCCGCATAAAAAAATAACGCAGGCCGCGTGGCATTGCTCTTTATCGTAGTCTAGTCACAACGGGAAACAAAGAATGACAGATTTATTATGACATTCCCGCTCTCAGAACAAAGGCGCGTAACGATGTTAAATATACGCGATGTTTTGGAACTTTGGTGTTGATTGACATGACGCCTCATTTCAGATAAGCAATCGACAATAGTTATAATGAATAAATGACACATATTTGTAAAGCTTAGATCCTCTTCTTTCATTTGATGCAACTCATATGATGCATATTTCACGAATGAGCGATTAAAAAACAATTTGAAGACATGATCCTTTGGTAAGTTCACTTTCTGCCCTTTCATAAATTAAACCTCGGCTCAATCAGGAAAAATGAGCCAGGAATAACAAATTTCTGTTTGTTTAAAGTAATGCTTGCACTTTCATAATTTGATTAAACGAATTCGTTTTCACTGGCTGCCTGCCGTAGCAACAGAGTTATGGAAATTATGGAAATGCAAGCATTATTTTAAACAAACGGAACTTTGTTATTCCTGTACAAATATGTGTCTTATATTTATTATAATTTTTTATCATAAAACATCGATAATTCTCCGTTTCGTTTTCTCATGGGACGCACTAGCTAAAGAAAGTGTTGATTAAAGAAAGAGAGATAGTGGTAAGAGGTAGAGAGATAGTGGTAGAGAGAGATTAGAAAGGTGACTGGATGAGAGAGAGGGAGAGAGGGCTAACAAAAAAAGGGTCGTAGAGAGGGCCTGGAGAGAAAGATAACAGATAAGAAAGGAAATAGTAGGCCCGTCTTCACTATCTCGAGATTGCCAAATATCCAGCTATTTGAACTATCCCGATCGCAAACTATCCAGCTATTTGCGTCTTCATTAGAACGAAGTAGCAAATTAGCTGGATAGTTGGTCGGGATAATATCCCAAGATATCTCGGTCTAGTTTGCAAAATATCCCACTATTTCCGAACTAGCGGGATAGTTTGCGACCGTCTTCATTAGACCGAAGTCCGGAGTCAAATATCCCGATCCCATCATGCACAACGATTTCCGGTTCGCACATGCGATCTATACCGCTCAGCGCGCTAGTACAACCACTGACCACGAGTAAACACGGAAAACCGCAAACTAAACTGAGATATCTTGGGATATTATCCCGACCAACTATCCAGCTAATTTGCTACTTCGTTCTAATGAAGACGCAAATTAGCTGGATAGTTTGCGATCGGGATAGTTCAAATAGATATTTGGCAATCTCGAGATAGTGCAGACACGCCTAGTGTTGATTTGAGATACAGATGGATTTACTACTATCGAGAGAGAGAGAGTTTCAAGGTGTATTCCCGAATTAAAAAGGGGAATTGTTGGATCTGTTTTTGTTATCGGAACAAAAATTCTCCTCACCATTGTCCAGTAGCAACAACGACATACAAATAATGACAGATTTATTATGACATTCCCGCCACAAGTCGGCGCTCTCAGAACAAAGGCGTAGGCTGACAATCTTAAATATCGCGGTCTGTCTGAACTTGGGTGTTGATTACAACATTTCCAAGATACGGTTATCAATCCAACTTTCTACTTCATTTGTGCCTTTTCATTGCACCTTTTCATTGCACCCACGAAAAGATCGATAGAAATGTCAGAATGTCTATTACCCTTCCCAGCTCAATGGGCGGCACAGGGTATGCAAATTAGAAATTGTTCTAGCGCTGCTGGTCGCTACAAGGCGGCCGCGGCGTAGTATCATTCATTCAAAATCAGTTTTCATAAGACCAAACGTCCAAAATGATGACAAAAGATGACATATAAAAATACATAACAGTCTCGTAGAGTAAATATTTCAAAGAACAAAACATGCATGTCTACGTCCCGGCCTCTACCTCTCTCTCCCTCTCTCTCTCAACCTCAAACAACGGACCTCTGCATCGATTGCGATTCACACAATTTTCATTTCATTTACATTTCATTTAAAATGGGGAAAGCCTTCCGATCGCTAGAAGGAAGGAATTTTACTGGCAAGGTGATTAAACGAGTTCTTGCCCCTCTTAGCGCGACAAATAGAAACCCTATTCCTCTCAAGAATTATGTAATATTATGTAAGATAATCCCCCCATTCTTGCCCCTTTCATTGGGTACGCGTTTGGGACGCTCGCGTTCTCTAAACAAAGGAGGGTACGCGATGAATGGAGAAGGTTTTAATCCACCATACCTTACGCGTTAAGGACAGTCGCGTTCTGCTAACAAAGGAGGGGACGCGATCGTCCTGAACCCGGACGAACGCGAGTGATAATAAAGTTGCCTTCCCTTAATTGACTTCCATTTAAACAAGAACTTCTTGTCAGACTCTGATGCAACACAGTATTGCCTATTGTTACAAAGCAGTACGTATACAATAACAAAAACAAGTCTAACAAACATGTCAGCATACATGTAAGTTACATATCAGGTTGAAATGAAGTACTTGCTATGACAAATTATACTATCTCCCAATTGTCTACTTTGATACTAATGTATATCGATTACATGCATTCTAAAAGTTACATAATAGTGATTCTCATGGGCTATTTGACACTAGTCAGCAATTTATCAAATAACAGGTGTTATCAATTCCCAAATGTGGACTTTACTTTTATGACCAATGTATGCACCTTCCACCCACTTGAAAAGAACCGGCCATAAAAAAAAAGTCTATTATAAATTCAAAATTCAAAAATGATATTAATTAAGCTATCCAGGTTCTCACAGCAAGTTGTCAGTTGGACACCGAGCTAACTGCTGCTGTGTGCGAGATTTGTAAACACAACAAAAAAATAGTCATTCCGTCGTAAAATCATAAATGCAATGTACTGTATGTCAGCTATAAGGTAATGCACATGGAAACAGATAAGAGTATACAGTAGGTTTGCGGGTGCACCATGTGAGTGAGAGAGAGAGAGAGAGGGTTGAGGAGTCCTGAAAAAGGACTCTGACTCAGTTATCTTTCTTGGGGGAGTGTAGTCCTGAAAAGGACCGTTTGTTATCTTTCTTAGCATATAGTTCTAAGGAGAACTATAGCGCTTGGAGAGGATGAGTTAAGAAAGATAACAAACAGTCCTTTTCAGGACTACACTCCCCCAAGAAAGATTACTGAGTCAGAGTCCTTTTTCAGGACCCCTCAACCCTCTCTCTCTCTCTCTTTCTCTCACATGGTGCACCCGCAAACCTACTGTATATCTACATCACCATGCAAGCCGACACTTACAAGCAGCATCTAGATAAGAGTATGTCTGTAATGTGGTTTGCATGAGGGTTCAGGGGCATGTTTCATAAAGCTGTTCGTAAAGTTATGCATGAATTTTACGAATGACTTGAATATGAAGAGCTAAATGGGATTCTCAAATCCTTTTAATTGCATATAAGCTAAAGTTGAAATATGCAGATGTAGTTAACCTTATCTTTATTAACAAAACATTTTAATGCTGAGTGTATTTTTGGCTACAATTCGATTGAGATTATGGGAAATACAGTCACACTTTGTTAAAATGTCATGAAAAACTTTGATCATCCCATTTAGCTTTTCATATTCAAATCATTTGTAAAGTCATTTGTAACTTTACGCACAAGTTTTAGGAAACACCCCCTGGTTATCTAAATATATCTACATTAAAATAATGACAAAGGAGGTGAAATTTGATGAAACACTTTTTCCAATGGGATAGATAAGTATGCACATGTTTGTAAATTTTGGAAGACTTACAGATGCTTTCTTGAGGAGCTCCCAGCGTGGTTTGAAGAGGAAGCTGATACCATCGCCAGCTCCATCCAAGAGGGCACCATTTATCAAGAGTACAATCAGAACCAGGTAAGGGAAGGTGGCTGTGAAATACACAACCTAGTCATGGGCGGGTAAGAACAAATCAATACCAAAATAACTTATAAGGCTAATACATGAGAGAAAATAATCATTATATACAATATGCACAGGAAGCAAATTAAAAAAGGAACAAATATGTGAAATGAAACATGGTTGGATGTATGATTTCAAGATAAACGTATATATTATGAAATTGAACATAGTGATACATACAGAGTAAGTTTGAAGGAAGGAGAAGCAGAGGCAATCCTAGCATGTTATTCTTTCACTAAACCCCTGGGACCAGTTTTAGGCAGTTAAAACCAGATTACTTGTACAGGAGTTAATTTTTTTGTTAAAGCTCTTGTTCAAACAAACCATAATTCAGTCATGAACAGGTGTCAATAACCTTTCATTTCATTTCATTTCAACCATACACAAGAAGAAAAAAAAGTCGAATGAATATTAATGAATTATTAATAAACCTGATATTGACTGTGTTCAAATGAACGCTTTACAGATCTGTCAATTAGAAAAATGCATCGATATTACTTGTTCCATTTGAGAAAAAAGAAAATTGACAAGAATGTGTCTGATATTATAAACAGTATCGGTACATAAATCAAACAGCATCGAAACTGTTACTGACTTTACGTTAGGTCTTCAAGCATTTTAAAGCGCCAGGGTACTGACACTAGGACACCATTGAAACTGTTACTGACACTTGTTCAGTAACCAAATTTAGGTCTTCAAGCATTTTAAAGCATTAGGGTACCGAGACTAGGACAGCATTGAAACTATTACTGACACTTGTTTTGGAACTGAATTAAGGTCTTCAAGCATTTAAATGCGCCAGGTACGTACAAGGTAAACCATCTACACAAACATGCTGCAGCCAAATAAAGTGATGTCACAATATTGTATTGTCTTCAAGTTTGTGTATCTTAATTATCTTTGAACATTCCAGGCAGCTAATTGTATGGGGGGGGGGGGGGGGGAGGTTCTTCCCCAGATCCCAACTGACAAATCATTAAACAAAAATGATATTCAATTTGCTGTAGCATATTTCAAGACAGTTCCAATGTACCTGCTTCATGTGTCTACAAGGTTTAAAAGACACAAAGGATATGTGAATATAAAACAAATAAATCCCTAATAAACTCTAGCATTGGTTTCATTTAATGCTATTTCTCTGTATCTGTGTTTTGTGGCCCAGTGTACCTAAGTAACTGCTTGAATCCATAGATTGATTTGTTAAAAGATTGTTTTCAATCAAAGAGAAAAAGGGTCAAACACATAAAAACATATAAAGTATGGTATTCAGCAAAAGTAAAAAGCAATAGAGAGAACAAAGAAGAGATGGCTGAAACTGAAAGATGAAATACAGAGACCTTATATATGCCACACAGAGAGAGAGAGAGAGAGAGAGAGAGAGAGAGAGAGAGAGAGAGAGAGAGAATGGGCAGATAAATGAGGAGAAACAGACTGAGTAACAAGATTATACAAGAGGCAAAACTCTCAGAGACTTCAAGAAACTAAGTGAGAGATAGAAGGATGAGAATAATAGAGGGATTTTGAAGAAGAAAAAAAGCAAAATCACAAAAAGTGAGAAAAAGAGAAAAGCAGAAAACTAAAATCCAACCCTGTCCAATAAAGAGAAATGTAAAACAAAGTAAAAGAAGAGGAAATAAAAAGAAAGTTTGGAGCAATGCATGTACACCAAGGTGAAATAATATCAACGAATTAGAAGTTGTTAATTTTTTTTTAAACATTGAATAATTTGGTATTGCACAAAAAAGCACAAAAAAAGAAAAGAAAGGAAATTATTTCCTGGTGCCATATAAATATTTATAGACACAAGAGAAGAGTGGGAGGGGGTGGCTAGAGGTAAAACAAATATGACTATACTTCATATGTTTGTTTTAGGGATATCTAAAAGAAGTACCGGTATGGTATTAACCTTAACCATGACAATGTTTTTACATCACTGAACAGTATTTGTGTTCTTATCTATTTTTCTTCCTAGCAAACTATTAAACTTCATAAAACACATTTATATTCTACTTCAGGGGGAGGGGGGAGGGGGGAGGGGGAGGGGGGGTAGCAGACAAGCAAATTTAGATATAACCTCTCCATCACTAGTTGCTTATGGCAGGTGTTTTTTTAAAGTCCCCACTCCCTTCTCAAAATATATGTAATTCAAAATACATACAATTGAAAATTTTAAATCATTCAAGTGAGAACAAAGTAATATATTTTCAAGTAATTGTAAAACATTTGGTTGGGTATCCCCCCCCCCCCTAAAATAAATTCACTTGCAAGTATGCATGCATCATTCCTCAGCAAAACCAAGCTAATGAGAGGAGTTAGGGTATGAGATCTACATGTAGGTAGGGAGCCAGCATGTCTTCACCTTGTCAAGAATAAAAGATAGACGCACACATTGGTCATCAAGGGTTACTCTTAGAGCCAAGCAATGACTCAGAGAATAACAAGTTTGATCAAGTTGATTCTTGGTAGGTCATAGGTCATCAGACTTGCTCGGGCTGAATATCAAATATACAATCAGAGACTTGATCGGGATGATTTTCGCTACTTGATCAGAAACTTGCTCGGGTTGTTTATCTTTTTAAAGGTAGTGTATCCCATTTGCAGCCAACATCAAATTCTCTAGAACTTTAAAGTCTTATCTGTGAAATTTAATCGTTAAAAGTGTCCTAGTATTCAAATCCTGCAAGGAAACCTGTTTTTACTTCTCTGTCAGACACTATTGAGTGACTGACTGACTTTTTTTTCTTCTTTGGTAATAACATACATAAAATGAGCTGTAATGGGTAGATTCTGTCGATCTACATCAATAACCCACTTGTTGTAATGGCCAAAATTAAACTCTTTGAATATTTGTGCAGCACTCGCTAATTCGATTCGACAACTAATAGTCTTTATTTTCGCACAAAAAGACACTTTCAAGCCCTTTGGTTTTGAGGGAAGTTCTAAATTAGTATCTTTCAAATCCTGTTGGAATTTAACCTTTTCACTTGTTTGGTCTGCAAATGGGACATAGTACCTTTAAAGTATAATAGTTGAGAGATAGAAAATGTCGTTCCAGCAACCTGAGAAAGATAAATCAGGAAAAAAATGATTAGTTGGTAGCGGACAATGTGATCACTGGTGTGATGAGGCATGGTGGTGAAGTGTGTAGCCTTCCAACTTCAAGGTATAGAATAGTTTCCTGTGATAAAACAAAATGAATGTATAGAAAAGGATTATAAAGATGGAATGTACAACAAGGGTTACTTCAATTCATGTACTATACCGGTATCTACAGACACTACTACTACTTGTACACACATTAACCCCTCTGATAGGGGCTTTAAAATCAACTTGAGGTATATCAAGTTACACATCCTTAACAATGAAAAGTGGAATATCTCCCATTATATACAGACAGAACATTTAATGTTACATGAAAGTATATGAAGAATCTTTCCAAAAAAAGTGCACAAATGATTAGAATTGGGTAAAACTTATTGATGATTTTGAGCCTGATATCAGCACACATATAAACCAAGCATATGATGTGTAGTATGTGAATGGATCAACACTTTTCATGAGTATCTTGTTACCTTTTGCCCCGTTTCATTCTTAATTGAAAGTTTTTTTTCTGTTCTTGCACAAACCTAGCATGCAGCATCAAAGTATCTCAATAGCTGTCTCTCATAAAATCTCAAGACAAAATAGAAACTCAAAGTACATTCATTGGGTCTAGTACTCCCTAGTTCTCAGCCCTTGATAAAGTATAAAGATTTGAAGAAAAAACTATCTGAAAAATTGTGCATTTAATTTGATCTGGCAGTATTACAAAGTAGATGTTTTAAGAATTGTTGCAAATAATTATACCCATGAAAGTTGCTCATCCATCCACACAACTGTATAAATCATTGCTCTACCAACAGATACCAGACCTGATCAGGACCTGATAAATATGAGCCAAGTCCTCACCTTGCCTGACGTAGCAACACCTTTGAAGAGACAGAAGTAGACCAGGACCCAGGCTAACAATAATAGACCAAACAGCTCCCAGCGCATACCATTTGGTTCATCAATTCCACCACTGATCTGCAGTACTCGGTGGCTGTAGAATCAATCAAGGAAATCATTCAATATGACAAATAATAATAATAATAAAAACGTTACTTATAAAGCGCTTACCACCGAAGTCTCTAAGTGCTACACACATACATGAGAGTGTGATATAAATGACAGTGGTGCTTTTGTTCCCAACTGGTCATCCATGAGTGCCAAGTTCTAAAGAATCTGAACTTGAAGTTCATGCACTAGTATGGTGATATGTCAGGCAAGATTTGCTACTATTTGGTCATCAACTGTCTGAAGCTTAAGGCCAGGGCAATAGAGCAATTTGAATGCACAGCCGAACAACAGCGGTGCATTTTGTAACTTTTTCGATTTTGATCTTGCCCCTTATTTTGATCTACATGTACCTGTACTGCACATTCCATGACTGAAAAATCATAACAAATGGGATATCATTCTAAAAAGTGATAAACTCACTTTCTAATGATACGAAACATAGCGATGGTCATGCCATGGTAAAACAGCTATAATCCATTATACTTGAGTTTCAAAACTTTTTTTTAAGGGTTTAGGTAGTTCCATTGAGAAAGAATGTTGCAAGGACATGTCTATCTTTCTCAATTTACTCTTAAGTAATTCAATGAAACAGTTCTGTTTGTTTCGTGCTCATTAAGATCTAGTAGTATAATTACTGTTTAAAAAATTAAAAATAAAAAACTTACTCAAAGTACTCTTGGGTAGATGAAATGGATCCATTAGGTTGAGTCTCATTAGGACCCAGATTAAGGTAGTCATCTTGAGACCAGCAATCCTCTGAGTTCCAGGTCATATTACATTGAGACCATGGTAACACACTCTGGAATGAGGCAAAGAGGTAGAACAGGGCCCATGTCATGATCACATTGTAGTAGGTTGTGAGGAGGAATGTGATCATCACAGTTGCTACACCAGTACCTGCAGGTGAGAAAAGAGAAAACAATGGTGCAACTTAAGTTTTAAAAACCTTTATGACAAGAAACATTTTATGTGAGAAGTAATCACAGTGCCTTCTTTCCATTGCCCAATGATACATGGATCTACTTCATAATTATGCATTCATTAAAAAAAAATTAAGACATACTATTATCTGTCCAAATCATAAGATGCCATCTTGAAATGTGAGTCCGTAAAACTGCTTACGTGATGTGAGTGAAAGGTTTATACACTTTCTTAGAATCTATACAAGAAAAGGATAAGGTATGAATTCCTTATAGATTTGTTTGTGAATTCGGTATATATAAAAGACATATGGACTGCTATAATATTCCAAGCATAGCTGTTTCTATACTGGCTCTCAGGGACGTTACATCCTGCTATGATCCTGAGGCGAGCCGAGGGCCTATAGAAACAGCAATGCCTCTCATAGCAGTCAATGTATCTATAGAATAACTTTGTTATTCAGAAAGCTTGGTCTATACTGTATGCTATTTTAAGTTTAATGTCATATCCGTGCTCAAAGCAAGTAGGCCTACATGTATGTGTATGTTCTCATACAGTGTGCCAAAAACTAAGACACAGTCACTTCTATTGTCTTTTTTTTTAGAAATACAGTCACAAAGAAGCAAACAGTTTGTGCCCTACATCTCTTACTGTAGATCTAGACACGTTTTCATAAATTATTGTTTACTCTGTAAATCCCACACAAACACAAAGATATCAATCGTATTTGTACTGGACTGTAACTGGTCAATAGATTTGACCTTATACTCAGGGATGTTATTAACCAAAGCAATGAACACCTTCTGTAGCATTGTTCACCCATGCATCCGCCATGGTGGCCGGTTCACCCTAACCTACATGTAAATCATAATGAATATGACCTTTATAAATTGTCACCCTTTCAGGACTGTAGGCTGTATAATGCCCATATTTGGCCTAATACTTGTGGGTAAAACTTTGGTTGGTTGAAGTCTGCTGATGTGTAACACTGTCTATATATCACACACATTAAAAAAAGAACCCTTTTTTATAACTTGTCTCATAGCAAAATAAAATCATAAATCTCTCTCTCCCCTCCCCCTCTCTCCCCATCCCCTCTCTCTCCCTCCCCCCCCCCCTCTCTCTCATACCCTCCCCCTCTCTCTCCCACCCTCCCCCTCTCTCTCCCACCCAGCCTCCCCCTCTCTCTCCCACCCTCCCCCTCTCTCTCCCACCCTCCCCCTCTCTCTCCCACCCTCCCCCTCTCTCTCCCACCCTCCCCCTCTCTCTCCCACCCTCCCCTCTCTCTCCCACCCTCCCCCTCTCTCTCCCACCCTCCCCTCTCTCTCCCACGCCCCCTCTCTCTCCCACCCTCCCCCTCTCTCTCCCACCCTCCCCTCTCTCTCCCACCCTCCCCCTCTCTCTCCCACCTTCCCCCTCTCTCTCCCACCCTCCCCCTCTCTCTCCCACCCTCCCCTCTCTCTCCCACCCTCCCCCTCTCTCTCCCACCCTCCCCCTCTCTCTCCCACCCTCCCCCTCTCTCTCCCACCCTCCCCCTCTCTCCCACCCTCCCCCTCTCTCTCCTACCCTCCCCCTCTCTCTCCCACCCTCCCCCTCTCTCTCCCACCCGCCCCCTCTCTCTCCCACCCTCCCCCTCTCTCTCCCACCCTCCCCTCTCTCTCCCACCCTCCCCCTCTCTCTCCCACCCTCCCCCTCTCTCTCCCACCCTCCTCCTCTCTCTCCCTCTCTCTATATACATGTAGTAAATTCCTACTGTCTTACAAATGTGAAATATCATTCAATAACATTTACAACAATCAGTTTGTTTGTAGGAAGATTTATCTGTGGGCATGTGTAAAGCTAAAGGTCATTTTCCAGCTCAAAGAATGTTTTTTTTATGCACACCTTTAGCCAAAATAGTGACAAAGACACCAGATTCTTGCAATATTCATTTTGTTTGATTTATATGTAGTAATAAAGAAGCATACAGTATCAGCCCCAAGTTTATTTCTGTAATGTACAAGTACATGTACATGTAGATCTAGATGCATTTTTATTAATTATTGTATACGGTACTCAGTAGATCACACAAAAACACAAATATGAAAAGATATACATGTGTATTTGCATTTGATTTCTGAAGATATGAGTGATAAGATGTGTACTGGACTGTAACTGACCAATATGATTTGACCTCACACACAGACTTGTTATCATTCATCACACCAATATACACTTTCTGTAGCAGTGTTAACCCTATCCCAATATCATGTTCAGACTATTTATATAATATTGGATGGCTTTGGGTGTGATACAAGAATAAGTTGTCATGGTGAGAGTGGACAGAGTGGTTTTCCCCTTGGACCACTGTACTAAATCAGAGAGCAACATTCTGCCATATTCCATCAGTGTGCTTACGCAGTAGGATTCAATTTTGATCGCTAATTTCAATTCACCCGGTCAGCTGAGAGCTGCCGTGGGAGAATGTAAAAACCCATACAGATACTGAATCACAGACGATCGCGAACGTAAACAAAGATGGCCGCCTCCAGTAGTAAGCGGGAGGTTTAAAGATAAAGACCAGTTCTGGTCAATGCGATTGTATTGTGAAAGAAACGTTTGGAATCGATCAGAAAAGGTTGATCATCTGGCATACAAGTATTGGTGTGTACTGCAAGGTTCTGGAATCATCAAAATGATAAGAAATTTGCCCCAGTCTTGGTAGGGTTACAAGCACTGTACACAGAAAGATGTATATGGGACCATGCGACACATGCGAGATATCTATCCGGTCCAAACAGATATAATAATTTACCAAATATATCAATTAGTAGGAGGTTTAATAAAATTTGGAGTGGACTATTAGGCTATTATTATTATTATTATTATTATTATTATTAGTCAAAACATGTTCTTTCACATGATTGGTATAAATAAGAGCTTCAATTTCATTTTTTGAGAGGGGGCATTTCCAAAACTGGTCTTTACCTTTAAAGACTCAGAGAACACCAAAAAAAGCCATGAAAGGAGCAGTTGGATTATTCTGTGTATATTTAGCAAAAAAAGGGCACCCCACTGATTCTGAGGCACTGGACAAAAATGAACTACCGGCTATTTTGTCCAATATTTATCTCGAAGTAAGGAAAGCTGACAGAGAATTCTACAAAACCACCTCACTCAATGGCATCTGCGCTGGCCTTAATTGGTACCAAAGTTGTATATCATTTGTAAAAAGAGCCTAGTATAGGTAATAATAGTTGCATGTATATTGACAGGGCTTCTTTCGGGGTGCAAGCCCAGTCAATACAATATCATAATTGACATAAAAATCATCTGAGACCGATGCTTCATTGAAAGATTTTTATCTTGGCTTTTTGGTAATAAAAGATCTAGATTAAATTATCTTATTTCTCCCATCTCTGATTTCTAATTAATCAAATATTGACAGAATTTTTTCATTTTTTTCCATTTAGGATCTCCATGCTCACAGGCTAATGCATTCCCAAAGTATGTAGAATCTATACTCTAGCATACATGCAGCTGTCTAATGATTGATACTAATAGGTGCTGGAAAACAGAGCTTTTCAACACATGAGGCCTGTCTTCACTATCTCAAGATCGCCAAATATCCAGCTATTTGAACTATCCCGATCGCAAACTATCCAGCAAAGAGGCACTGCGGACCCCTTCAAAAACATAAGTATGGAGCCCTGCATACATTACAATCCTCTGATTGATACATAGGAGATTGACTCAGTCGGTTGGTCCGTCGGTCTAGGAGGTATGCAAGTCTGCTTGCTAAGGCTGTGCACAACAGTGTAATGAGGTACCCAAGTACACTCCCAGGCTTACAAGCAAATACTCGAATATTCGGACGCCATGTTTTTTTGAATTTTTTTGAATTTTTTTTTTGTTGATTTTTTTTGCCACCACCATACCACTGGGGCAGTATCCCAGGTCCATCACTGAAAACGCATGCAATTTTACTTCGAGTTGCAGTTGAAGGCGCCGATCTAATAAAAATAATAACAGTAAACAATGCTGTTTTAAAAACCAAAATAATCCATTTTTCTCCGATTCCAAACAGAAATCCAGACAGATATTTTGAAAACTTTAGTCATTTTATATGTTGGAACAGATGGGGAAGTAGTCCGCCACTACATCACATTGACATTACCTCTTCAACTAATTTGAAGTGCCCATACGTATAGCGATTATATCTTTCAAGAATTCATAACTTTCTTATATTCAAGCAGATTTAATTGAAACTTTCATCAGTTTCCTTCTCTGATTCGTCTGCTTTCTTCTAGAGTGATTCTTTATTTGGGTAGGATTTCCCTTTAACTGACAGCTCGTCTGCAGGCGAACAAACTAACCATGAGAAGAAGGCTTTTCTTGTAAGGCAACAATTCACAATGGATATAGGCATTCAGTTTAGAAAGAAAGAACAGAATTCAATACCAACGCCCCCTACAAAGGAATTTAACTAAAATATTCCAGTGGGGCTATTGTCATTCACTGACACTGTGAAAGAGCTCTTCTCTTGGGAATTCTATTGATTACCAACAAAGTAAGCTGCAAGTATAAGATACGGCTACCACACTGGGATGGTCTATCAGCTACAAAGATAGGAGTGATGATAGTCACTGGTCAATGTGGATACGGCTCAAGATGGCTTCACGGGGGCAGGAGGGACAACCCCTGATGATTTTTAAAACATGCCCTAGCTCCCCTCTCCACTAATGAGTGTTCTAGTAATGGTGTGAACGTGCTTTAATGGAGGAACCAGCATATCAACCATGACAGGTGCGTTTCCACCTGGCAGTAACGATGACCTACAAAGAGTGACCCTTTCTACACAGAATGCATGTGAAGAAAAGATCAACTGGCTACTCAATAGGCCTGTCTTCATCAGCTCGAGATTGCCAAATAACCCGCTAAATCTGATTTGGGAAATGATCCAGAAGTTACAAATCGCATCTTCATCAGCTCGAGACTTGACCTCGAAAATTGAAACTCAAGCTCAAGAAAATAGCTCAAGATATTTTGCTCAGTGTTCGCGCATAGTGCGAGTCTTCGGGCTGGTGAAGAGGCACCGGACAAAAAGCAGGATATTTTGCAAACTAGTCCAAGATATCTTACAATGATTATCTCGTCCAACTATCCCGCTAATTGCAACTGCAGGCTGATGAAGGGTAAAGACGCAAATTAACTGGATAATTTTCTATCGGGATTGTTCAAATAGCAGGATATTTGGCAATCTTGAGCTGATGAAAACAGGCCTAATGAACATCAATGTACTGAAATAGATAAGAGCTGCTTCCATCTTAACCCATTGCTAACAGGATATATTAAAACGTAAAGGAAGTGAGCAGTCAGTGGGTTAATAGCTCTGAGGTGTGGCAGAGGTTAAAGGTTAAGACCAGTTATGGTCATGCGATTGCATTGTGAAAGAAACATTGTGAAATCGTTCAGAAAAGGTTGATCATCTAGCATACATGTACAGTACTGCAATGATAAGAAATTTGGCCAAGTCTTCATAAAGTTAGAAGCACTGTACACAGAAAGATGTATATGGGACTACACACACGTGCGCAACACATGCATTTGTATATCTCAACAGGCAAGAGATACACTAATTTACCAAATATATCAATTAGTAGGCGGTTTCCCGTCAAAATTGTTATCATCATGTAATATTCAAAACATATTCTTTCACATGATTGGTAATAAGAACTTCCATTAGAATTTTTTGAAATTGGGGCGTTTCCAATACTGGTCTTTACCTTTAAAAGAAATTTGTATCATCTCAGTCACTATCTCAGAAGCAGAAATGCATGTGATGGGGGAAGCAGGCATAAACCAATTAACTATCTTTATGCTCAATATGCCCCCCCCCCCCCCAAAAAAAAAAAAAAAAAAAAAAAAATACAACAACAAACAAACAAGACTTGTAGGTAAATAAATGAGAGAGACAGAGAATCAAAAAGCAAATTATATGTAGTGACATCCAACAATAGATGCAGAAACCAATAAATCAAATCAAATTTTTAAAAAAAGCACCTGTGCAATACTCATCCATTCATCCATTCATCCAATCATGCATGAAACCATTTAATACCAAATTCTGTTCATACTCTGGTAAGCATGTTAAATAAGATACTGTAGAAATTCTCAGGGAAAAAATTAATGTTTATTTTTTGGGGGGGGCTACTCTTCAAGCTTGCCTGCCTGAAAATGATATTCTTAAAATTATTTTGCATTGAACTCTATGCAAATTTATGGGGGCTCCTTTCTGATTTTCGGGGGCTCTTTTGGGCATTTCGGGGGCTATTTCACCCTGAGCCTCGTGTATTTTTTTCACATCACATTAAGTTTTGAAAAGAATGTGTTCAATGAATGTTTCTCTCCCACTTTAAATCAGAATGTTTATAACTTTGCTACCAACTGTAAAGTGGAGCTAACATCATGTACAGAATATGAAGTTAAAAGTAAAACTGCTTGTCGCTCAATCGTCTTCATGGTATTAACCTGGCACTATGCCAAGGAATGCACAAAGTTCAAAGGATTGTGGAGTATAAAAAAAAAAGAGATTGTGGAAATAATCATTGAAGCGATCAACTATTCAACTGTATCATTCAAATTTTTGAATTACTTGGGGAACTACTGTGTGATTATAACAAAAGAATCTCTCTTCTTTTGGTTCTTTTCTACTCATTTTCCTTAAGATAGAGTAGCTTAGACTTTAATGGAGAATTCATATCTGCAAGGGTATCAAAATAAAATCCTGTGTTTTTGCAGATCCAACTGAGTGTGACAATAACACTTTTTTTAAAGTCAATTCAAATATCAATATTGAATTTGATGTGTATGGCTGTATGCATGGCCTGCCTCAAAGAAAAGTTACAATGATTTGTCAGCCTAACAGTCTAGTCTTGCTGGAAGGCTCTGAAGGCCAGGTACAATAATGGAGAAAGGATTAAGAACAGTGTGAATACAGTGTGATGATGGTCCTCTTTAGAATAATAATCTTTAACATTTGTCTGCTTGTCAGCCACTTTGAAAGATAAGAGGAAATGAATGATCATGAAATCAAAGAACAAGTAACAAAGATATTGGCCAGGTATAAAATGTATGTATCACATGGCATCTGTTTACATACCAGGTACCCCAATCTCAGAAAGATCGACAAACTTTACAGCAAATCAAGGTATCATGACTGATGAAAAATATTCCTATTCATGGTTTGATAACCCATAATGAAGATAATACTGATGCACTCGACAGGGTAATACAGTCAAACCTGCTTTAGTGACCACCTGTCTACAAATACCACATTTGTTGCTTCCCTTGAAAATAGTTTCTCATTGAAACATGTACTACAGGAACCTGTATATAAAGACCACCTGCTTATAAAGACAACTTTTCTTGTCTCCCTTGGGTGGTCTTTATAGACAGGTTTCACTGTATCAGACTCAATTCTCTTCGGCAGTGAGTATAAAAAGGGTATGATTCTCACCTTTGAAGAGAGGGGTGATCTTCTTGAAGGCTTCTACCGGTCCATATCGGATGTATTGACCAAGACCGAACTCAAGAAGGAGAAGAGGTAGACCGGTCAGGAACAAGGTGAGGAAGTAGGGGATCAGGAACGCACCTATATTCAGAGACAGATGGGGAAAATAATAATGGATATTTTTTTTGTTATGAGAGAAAGGGGAAGAGAGAGGTGAGAGAGGTGAGAGAGAGGGAGAGAGAGGGAGAGGGAGAGAGAGGGAGAGGGAGGGAGGGAGGGAGGGAGGGAGGGAGAGGGAGGGAGGGAGGGAGAGAGAGAGAGAGAGGATAGAGGAGAGGGGAGAGGGGAGAAAGGGGGGAGAGGAAAGAGAGATAGGGAGGGGAGGGAGGGTGGAGAGGGAGGGGTGAAAATGCGGGGTTGTAATATACATTTGTACATGTAGAAGAACAAGGAAAGATAGAGCCAAAAACTTGTGTGTATGATGTACATGATGACCTTGTGGCGTGTTCAAAAATTGAGGCGCAAAAAGCTTTTATTTGACCATCTTCAAAAGCATAAAAACTAGAATCTCATCTAAGGAACCGTTTGATAATGCCATGTGTGAACCAATATGTACATTTACATGCACACGTAATAAAAGTTCAAAGTGCCTTGAAGAATATTTAGATTGCGATCAGGAGGCCAACACATGATATTTACATGATACCAACAGGTAAGACTTAGCACATCTTGGAATGACTTAACAAAATTAGAAGATGACAAAGCATTTTTGTCTTCCATTATCAGTTTCTAAAATAAAGTAGATATTACCAAAGAGTACAAACTGTGATTTATCATCTAGGACACTGTACTACTAGATGATGTTAAACATTTGACATCATCTCTGCTTCATCAATGATACTTCTTAACATCAAACATTTAAAATGATGAAGATTATGTGTACTCACCACCACCACTCTTATAACAGAGGTAAGGAAATCTCCAGACATTCCCTAGACCGACAGCATATCCTACACAGGCTAGGATAAACTGAGCCTTGTTACTCCACTTCTCCCTGGTTGCCCCAGGATAACCTGCCGTAGCAGGCGGCGCTTTGAGGGGTGAGAAACTTGCCTTGGATGGCATTGTGCTTTCAATCTCCTTGGGACTGCATGATAACGAAAAAGAAAAAGAAATAAATGTACCTCGTCAAAAGTAATCTTGATTTCTTGTTCAATGTAGGTTGCCTCATAATCATGGGAAAAAAATTACTGATTCAAACCTAAATTTTCTTCTATTTTGTTATATTTTGTTTAAATGTACTTCTCAATTTCTCATTGCCTAAGCCACTCAGCAACAGGATCAATGAGTACTTAGTACTCAGTGAGTGTCAGATCATTGTGAATAATACTAAAACCTACAAAACAAAACAAAGCTACACTTACCAAACCTAACTGACATCTTCACATCAAGTGTAACCTCTTATAATGGGTATTAATTACTTTCAGATCATTGTGAATATACTCAAGCCTAAAAATAAACGTGAAACCAAACTGAAATCTTCACATAACATGAACCTCTTATACTCACTCCACATTCACACTACCAGAATTCACTGTATACATGTAGCTATACAAACCATTTATACCAGAATTGAATAGCACTATACGATAGGTCATTACCATTTTTAAAGTCTGAACATCAGATAAAGCAACATTGTATAATGAAAACTTGTGTTTGCGCATTGAATGAAAACTCAATGAACAATCGGTGTCCCCGTCTAGTCTGAATGTAGTATCATATGAAAACCGCGTAATTGGGAGGGGCTTAATCGCGAAAGAACAATGAATGGCCTGCTGTCGGGTCTACTGATCTCTTCAAAAGTAGTTTCTCTATGCTTCCTTCATTTTACAAAAGAGTCCTACTTTACAATTTTAGTTGATAGTTTTGTATAAATGTCTTCAAGTCTGAATAGGCCATAAGACTCACTCGCTTTGCTTCATTTCCTGTGGTTGAAACTTTACTTTCAATTTCTAAAAGATTCACTCCCTTCTCTCTCTGGGAATCTCTCTCTACACCTCTCTCTCTCTCTCTCTGGGAAATTATTCCACATTTACGATTAGATATGAATATCATGTATACCTTTTCCTTGTAAAAAAGCAATGTTATCAAGCTTGGCTACACTACATGTAGCTTTGGCTACACTTTGAAGACTTAACTATTTTTTAATGGGTACATCCCTACAGACCCGCATTCCACAAGATTGACAAAATTGGTTTCGTGAAAACCCTAGGAAATTTGTGAAGAGGCTGCTGAGACCAATATATATCGGTCTTGGGGGCTTTATCTATCTTCATAGACCATCAGTATCATGCATGTACTGTTGATCGCTAGAATCCTCAGATAACCTTCCAGAAGACCCAAGAGGAGAGAGACATGGTGGAGATATATTTCACGAGACTGGCCTTTATTTAAATAAGCAACAGTGGATTCATATACACTGTACATGCCAAAATAAATACAAAACCAAGCAATTTTAGCAGCAAGAAAATGATTACCAACTGAAAGCAAATGCATATGAAATTGATATATCACACATGTCTATTGAGGCATTTTAAATCATTTTTTTTTAAATTCTTAAATGGGCAATTTAAAACGCAGTTTTAAAAGTGTTGCGAGCTAACCCTGACTGGGATGCTGGTGTGTTTGAACCAATTGTCTACCGGTATACTCTTATACATGTACATAGGTCACAAGGCAATTAAGAAGTAAAACTGATTACTACGACCAGTTATCTTAATAATCTGAGACAAACAGCATTTATTCATTTCTAACTAGCAACTGGTCTACTCTACCACTGTAATGGTTACAATTTAGAAGTCCCAACAGTTCCAATCAGCATACACGTAAGTCAAAGACATATTGCAAATCCATTCATATATTCGCCACACTTGATAGCCACTTGGCCATGCACTTCTGAATGTCAATCAAATAACTCACTGCAAACTCCCCAGAATCGATGTCTACAATTATTTGCTGGAATTCAGGAATACTGTCATAAATTGGATGAGCATGGTGATCTCAATGCAATCTATTAGGAAGGTGCGACTGGTGTGAAGGATTGATCAGATAAAAACACACAGCATATAGGCAGCATTAGACAACCTGATTAATTTATTTCTTAAATCTTCAAGGAGGAACTATAAGTGCGATGTAAAACTGCCTTGTCATAGTGAGTCAGCAATTTGCACTACCTGTATCTACATTTACATCTGTAAATACAAATCTATTTGTACATGTACAGTAGTTAGCAAACATATACATGTATATATGCAAACTTTGGGGTCCGCTCACTATTCATAAGGACCACTGTTCATACAGTAAGGAACAGTATTCATAAGGACCGCTATTGAGAAGGACTGCTTTTCAAAATTTGAATAACAGTCCATATGCCTTAATGCATAGTGACCACCTTGGCGTTTTAAGAATAGCGGTCCTTATGAAAAGCGAGGGTACCCCCAAAACTTTTATACTGTAAGTTGGGCACCCTTTGTTAGAGACTACAAATTTTAATGACTGAATTGATCTAGCAAATAACTGTTCTGCCTACGTCTACGTCTATGGTACTCGTCAAAAGCCTTTTCAGCAACTGCCTAGAACTGGGTTGATTAATTTACCTGAACTGTACATGAACAATATGAGACCTTGAATTCATTCAGCCATATCCTTGTTCTTGTTCTTACTTTTAAATAACTTCAACATTTAAATTTGAATAAAGTTTTATCAAGTACTACATGTACTTGCTCTTTCTGTAACTATAGTGTATTAAGCTACATAATTAATTTGAGCTTCAAAATCATCAAGTTTCAGCCAGTTTCAGCCAGTTTCAGCCAGTTTAATTCCAGTGGCTAGCTGTCTTATGAGTGGTTGTGATTCATTTGAATCGTTCAAAAGTGTTCTAATCATTTTCAAATATTAAATCTCATAAAATGTACATGTATTATCAATAGTTGTGATTGTTATTATCATATGTATACAATTGCAATTAATTAATTCAGATCAATTTTCAACTCTTCATCAGAATGGCACTGAATATATGCAACGCACATAATTCTTTTCATCCAGACGTATGGGTACCGTATGCAATACCCATAAAGACGGAAACATGAATATAGGGTTGGAACAACTTAACAGATTGGAAATATTGTGCGCTTATTGTTCAATGAAATAGCAGAACTATCGCATTAAACAAAAACCAGAGAAAATGACACATCAACTCCTAGAATTTTATCGGAAATGAACTAAGAAGATTTAAACTTAACCCCCTCCCCCCCCCCCCACCACCACCACCACCAAGAAAAGGTGAATTGTTATTGATTATACAGTTTATAAAGAACTTTACCTGATGTCTTTTTGATCTTCAGTAAGAGCTGGATTGTCTATACCCAAACCATTTTCTTCAGTCTTCTCAACCATTTTGGATGAAAATGAGCTCGAATCTCCTCAGTATCCCTCAAATAACAATGGTTTCCTGAATTCTAATGCGACCGGTAAGCTTCCAATGTCACACTGAAATTAAAGGTGCACGACTGAGCTACTGTAGGTTGGACGGACCTTGTAGAGCGCTGGCTGGATGTTCCTGTAAGCTTTGAGCTTTATGTGAAACTGATTACCGCTGAACATAGAAGCCAGACAGGGCAAGAGATTTTGTAATGCTATCAATCTTCAGGATTTAAGAACCGTTGATCTCCCCGACTAAGTAAATAAAGACTGATTGTATAAAACAATGAATGACAGCAGTAAAGATAGGAAGTAAATTATCTCTATGTTATCGGACTTTGGTCTGCCACTCAAAGGGGCGGGAGCAAACCCAATCTCTAACCTCAATATTAACTTTCAAATGCAAACACACGGAGACACCCTCCAAAACAAATCGTAGAAGACCTTCCAAATGAATAAATCTTATTAAATTGAAATAAATAAACATGTAGTCTTGGCAAATATCCAGGAACAAAGGTGTTGATCTGGCAAACATTTACCGGTACATGTATACATGTACATTTACTTGACAAGTATATTTGCAGTTTTTGCATTGTGCAAGGTGTTTGCCTACATGTATGAGGATAATATGAGACAGTATTATTATTATTATTATTATTATTTATTTGACCAATCGGAAAACATACAGTGAGTATAACAATCAGATAATGATGGTTCTTTGGTACAAAAGACAGAAATAACAATATAAACATTGCTTTTTGCATCCCCCCTCCTATGTGTTCACAAAGAAAACACAATAGATGAAGGAACAAATATCCTTGCAATATATTGACATACCGGTAATAAATAGACCTGTTGCACATGCAAGGTAACACTTTCTATAATTAAAAACTAGCTCTGATGTCACTACCTGAGTGATTTACTGGTAGCCAATCATATTGCACCATGGGTTCAAGAAGCAAGCTGATGTGGCCGCATGCATGTAGCAAAACCATGATATGAGCCAATCACATCATCGTCATTGACAGTGTCATTGTCATCTCACAAAGCTAGAGAAAGAGGCGTAAGATCTTATTTTTATTTACAGTACATGTACATGTCTAGAGGCTGTAAAAGGAATCTTCGTGCATTTACAACCTTTACACAAAGTTTGTTAACCCTTGGTCCAAAATCTAAAGCCTTGCAGAATGAAAGGGGTGTGTCTTGGGAGAGCCTAAGCAGTATGCAGATTGAAAGTATGTTTTACTAGCAGATATGTAGGGGTACAAGCCCTTGATGTGCCCCAAGTATGTACTGTAGTGTAGGCTACTAGGGGCGATCACACCTACAGAAAAAAGTGAGATTTAAAAATCAATTTTTGCATCGCGATCCAAAAATCTTTTTGTTTGCCTGTGTGGACAGATTAATTGCACTATTCTCTGCCTTTTTGCAGTAAGTCTTGCAATTTTTCAGAATAATCATGATAGTTTGCCGGCGCTGTGTGTGTGAAATGTGAATGGTATTGAGAATCAAAAATTGATTTATTCAATTCCAGGATTTCAAGCGCACGTACATCTTCAAGATTCACACTTGCACAGTTCAGACGTTCTTGCCATCGAGTGAGAATTCTCCGCGTGTGAGTGGTTACCAAAAACAGTCAAATTTTAGCATCGCAATCCAATTCACACTAAATTGACATGTGTGAATGGTCCCCCCCCCCAAAAAAAAAAAAAATCTTTGCATCGCGATCCAAATCGCACTAATTGTATGTGTGAACCGGCCTATTGTCGGAAAGAGTTGGCTTTCATTTTTTTTAAAGTCTGCATGTCCCCATCCTTAGTCATATTGTACACTAGTGGCATCTGTGGCATCAAGTGGCTTAAAGTTAGACAAAAATGAGAGAAGCAAATCTGTGAAAGTTTGAGGAAAAGCCAATTAGTTCTTATGTAATACTAGTATTTTCTAGCAACAAGGCACTGTAAAACAAAAAAAATGACACAGATAAATGATACATTGTACATTGTGCATTGTGCATTGTACATTGTACCTAAACAATAAATATAGGCCCCTGTGCAAACATGTATACAGGTAAAACACTCTGGAAACAAGTGCTTGTTGCGCATCCACAACTATGAAAATATTTCTTGAGTACTGTAAAAGTTACAAAGGAAATGGGTAACTTATTTTGTTGCTCCTATCAAAGCCAGGCACAAATGACTCTCTAGAATTCAAAATGACCCCAAAATATGATAGTACATGTAACTCCATTATTTTTGTATTTCTTTTTTTTTTTGGAGGGGGGGGGGGGGGGACAAGACATAAAGATATTTCAGTCAAAATTCTTTGCCGAAAGACATGAAGATCTCAATTCACAATTCTCAGTTTTTTCTGTTGTACAGTACAGTCATTTCAGCATATGAGATGTTAAACATAAAACATTTACAATTTCATGTCATGATTAATTCCTTTGCTCTGTGAACAAAATGGAACCAATACAAAAAATTAGTCTTCATGACTATACCGAGTCATAAGTTCTACAGAGTCGGACTTAATTCCTGTTTTATACAATTCTTGAGGCTCATTCACATTCACTTAAGTAAATCGCCATGGTTTTTGTGTGCCAGTACTAAAATGAGGGAAAAAATGTTCCTGCACAGAAAAATGGTCCCACACGTGTACGTATACTACTCATCTTTGTGTTACAAAATATGAAGTAGGCCTACAGTACTATTTTATTTAAATACCTTACGGTTTATTGCAACATACGTGAAAAAGTTTTAAAAGGGAAGTCCACCCTGATATTAAGTTGGTAATAATGCAAGCAGAAAATATCTAGTGAAAGTTTGAGCATAATATACAAATAAAAATAGGACAGTTATGAATTGTTTAAGTCGACATAAGTGGAACACAAATTGGCAACACTGTGACGTATGTTGGGAGCTCCTTTCCATTATGCTATATACTGAAAATTTCATAAACTTTCATATATTCTAAATTAATAATGAAATACATATTGGAAATAATTATATTCAGGGTGAGTGTATGATTATTATTTTTTTTTCTTAAAGGGCAATTATGGCCCGTTTCTTCATTTTACTGTTTCTATTGCAACCCAACTTCATATGAGGTTAGACCTCCCCTTTAATGTGTAGATCCTCCTGCCCCTGAGGAACGTGAGACTCTGACTAATATGGTTGATTGTCAGGACTGCAGGCATTCTGACCTCGGTGAGAGGAAACTATTTGGTTTGCTTAAGAGTAACAGACCTGGAGCAGTCATTATAGGAAGATGTCCAGGATCAGTTAAAGGTAAAGACCAGTATTGGAAACGCCACCATTTCAAAAAATGAAATGGAAGCTCTTTATTACCAATCATGTGTAAGAATATGTTTTGACTAATACATGATGATACAAATTTTGCCGGGAAACCGCCTACTAATTGATATATTTGGTAAATTAGTTTATCTCTTGGACTGTGAAAGATAAATGCACGTTCAAGCACGTGTGCGTATAGTCCCATATCCATCTTTCTGTGTACAGTGCTTGTAACTTTACGAAGACTGGGCCAAATTTCTTCCAGAACCTTGCAGTACACATCAATACATACATGTACATGTATATGCTAGATGATCAACCTTTTCTGATCGATTCCACGTTTCTTTCACAATGCAATCGCATGACCAGAACTCAACTTTATTTTTAATCCATTCAAAGCATGCAACTGTTTCTTGATAATCAAATTGTAATTATGGAGGTTTTGAAAACATTGAAGGGAAATTTTCATTCATAAAGTTCATTTGCAATTTTGCATGAAATCAGAAAAATTGAGGGAAAAAAAACAGATTGGCAAGTTTGAAATGGACCAATAATAAGGAAGATACATGTACATGTACATTTGTTAAGCCTACTGTATGAATGTTTGAAATTTTATGAGTATAATGAGATCACTATTAAATTTGTCTGCTTTGTTTTACTACACTAGCTAGGGGTACTAATGAGCCATATTATTTTCAGATTTAGATTCAGAAGGGTTGAGGAAAATCTGAAAGCCAGGCCAGGTGAAGAAAATATTGTCTAAACCAGAAGATATCAGGTTAAACAATCATCATTAAAATATCAATTATCTATTTATAAGCACAATTATTCATTTAGAATTACAGCACATGTACATATGATTTACACTACTGTACAATACATGTAGGAATAGGATGCTAGCTGATACATATTGATGTAGATTTCTAAAGATTCATAATTCATTTCTTTCCATCATGTTTCAAGCAAACGCCTGCAATGGATTCGACTAAGCTATTAAAGCTTATCTGCCGTAGTTTACAGGAGGGATTAGACTGCCCTGCAAGGTCACAGGACAGGTGGTTATCTCATCAACTCAGCTCTCAGTAAACATAAGAAAAAGAGGATCATGGGGGACCAATGGTCACCGATTAGGCATTGTTTGTTATAGAGAGGGCGCAAGTAGCTACAAGTCGTGCAGTGGGCCAGATATGACCCAGTAATACTTTCATCGAAAAACATTTCAACAAATAAATATAAAACAGGATTGATGAAAGTGGGTCTGTTGTCAGATTGTACGCCTGACTCTGCATCTGGGATCAATTATGTTTCATATCATTTGTTTATTGTGATTGTTAATATTTTAGTAAGCCAGTTAAAATTTAAAAGAGAGAGAGAGAGAGAGAGAGAGAGATACTGAGTGTTTACTTTGACTGCATGAGCTTTGCCTTATTTGAACTGAAGAGGCTGGCTGAGCTAATTATCACTATCAGTAGTTACACTAGATTCTAGACCGAATTTTTCGGTCTCTTTCGTTCGTTAGCCTCTGATTTGGGTAAGGTCGGCTCTCTCTACTAAAGAGAGAGCCGATGATTTGGGTAAGGTCGGCTCTCTCTACTAAAGAGAGAGCCGACCTTACCCAAATCAGAGGCTAACAAACGAAAGAAACAGACAAATTAGGTCTAGAGTCTAGATCTAGAGTCTATAGTTACACAAACTGATGATGACAAGCGCTGAATCCGGGCTAACTCGGACCAAAGACAACTCGGCCCAGCTGCAAAAACGGTCAGTTTCTGTCATTCTACCCTAACCCTTGCTAGCC